AAGACAAATCATTTCTGAAACATTGCATCTTCTAGTTGGAGACAGCTCTTAGAAGCCTTGGCAGGCTAAGGAAGAGATATCACACAGTGCATCCCTACAACAAGTAGTATGACTACGTTACTGTACATACAGTGATATTCTAAAGGACAATGGTGGCAGCCACATTGTAAATTCATCCAACTTACCTATCACATTTCCCAAGTACTCTAGCCAGTTTTATCTACAGTATATAAAAACCCATTAATTTTTAGAGTTCAATACACAGGTTTAGGACCCAATAGAATGCCACAGTAAGATGCTGACATTTGCATCTGTTAGATGCAAGTGCACTTTGCAATTCAGTCATGTAGCATTATTGTATTCACCTATAAATGTCAGTCCATCCAAAACTGTTAAATTCCATTTTTTGCTTCATTGTTGTTTGTAGCCTGTTTCCGTTGAGCGATGAAAGGATACATACACTTGTCTGCTCCCAAAAATCTGTACATGCATACAACTGCTTCAAATGGCAGAATACTGTGAAAAACAGGGTAAAAATTTGTCAGAACATAGCATAAAATACTCCCCTCTGCTTACACGTATTATGTACTCGGTCTCCTTAAAAGTAACAAAATAGCTATTGGAGAGCCTTTTTCAAAGACTTAAAGGATTTTTATTTCACAGGGATACTTACAAAGAGAATGGAAATTCTAGAGTCCCAACCACAAAAGCAAGGCAAGCAGAAAGGTGGAAGAAGCTGCTTATTCACATGCCTCCAGTTTAGACCAGAGTTTCTGCTGCTTCTTCACAAGCAGTGTGGTAGCTTGTGTTAAAGATGGGGAGGGGGGCAAGGGCACCAAAGAAGGCCTACTAAAAGCAAAGCATCTGCAGAAAGCCACATCAGCAGAGGTCATCAGACATTTAAGATATTCTTTAATGTGGGATTAGTGTTAGTTAATGCCATTCTTTGATCACCAGATGTCTAACAACCTTGATTTATATTCTAAACTCAATCATCCATCCTCAAAAAGAAAGGCCTGAAGTAAAGAGAGCAATTTCCTTTTTCCTCCCCTCCAGATAAAATTCCAAGAGGTGATTATGTGATGGCTACCTGGCCACAGACCATCCCCTCCTTCCCACACCCACAAAACATTTTTTTTATTTCAACTGTAGTACTCAGGCACTCTACTGAAGGACTCAAGTGGGATTCCTCAGCTCCTGGAAATTGCAGCAGACACTCATTCAGTGGAAAGAGGTGCACAGATTCCAGCCATTAGCAGTAATGACCACTGAAGCACCAAGAAGTAAATGTCACTGGTACAGGTGTCCTCACTGCCAGCAGTACTGCTTGTGCAGTAGTGACTGGAGGGCCTTTGATCTAAATGCTGCTGCCTGGGGCATGGATTATGCAGAAGCTTTGATCTGCCTGTTGGAAGCTAAAGTGTTGAACCAAGAAAACCCAAAGGGCCTTTGATGTGACTGTTGCTGCAAAACCCACTGCTTGTGCAGAAAGCACTGAAGCACTCTCGGAGCTTCTGGTTAAAGAAGTTAGTTCTTAAAGACACTGACAGTGGCCTTCATCTGTTGGCAGAACGGGCACATACATATGCTCTTCCAGGAAACACGTGAGCAGTGAAGATTTCTCTATTTTTTTGTGAGCCTGTCCACCAAGACAGACTTGAGCCAGTGGAGAACCACACACTTGCAAGCGGAGAAGAATCACCAGCGTTCTCAGTTTCAGCTATCCCTCACAGAAGGAAAATAGGACTATGCTATATTTTAAAGGTTTCCCCTACACATACAGATTTAAAGAAAACCACAGACAGCTGTGAAGCTGTTCCCTATAAACTAGAATGCAACTGATGTTGCATCAGTGGAACTGAACCTGCATTACCCTGCATCATTGAAATGTCAGCCTGGTTACAGTAAACAGAGTTTCCATCCAAAAACTGCAGTGTGTTAGAACAAAAGTAGTAAATCCTTTAAATAGTCCCTACTCCAAACCTAGACTCTGAAAATTGGTTCTGAATGTGCAAATCTTTAATTTATCTACCATATCTGTGCAAGCCCTGGAGAACCTGCAGGCAGGGCCTCCTATACACTGGATCTAGAGACAAGTAGCTAGAGGTTCCTCTGCTGGTAGCTACCTCAGGCCCCGTTCCTAGGGAGGAACTCAAACAAGGGAAATAAAAGTCTGTTGAAAACAGGAACCTAAGGAGGATGGAAGATACCAGAAGGGTAGAACAAGGATGCATAAATACACAGGATCTCAGTTTTATGGAGCTTCCCAAACAAACAATCCAAGGGTTATGAATTCTAACAAAACAGCACCTATGGCCTGTGTGGGTGGGAGGGTGTTTATATTCAGAAATTGGGCACTGCCATGTATTTTACTAGTATTTAGTGGATTATACTGCCAAGTAACTGGCACTTCAGTTCTCACCTTTTCATGAAGGTAACCATATACATGAGGCGAGGTGTGCAGATCATTGGCTGGTCTGTAAGGATAGCTCTCATAGCCTGCTTCACACAGTATTCTGGTTTCAAGGGTGGAAGAAAAGGCTCAATTTCTTTTCTGAAATATTTGATTAAGACAGATCAATAAGATACATAAAGGACTACATACCTCAGTGAAGAGTTCATTAACTCACTTTCTTTGGAACATTTTTATGTTCCCTGTTAAGTTACAAAACTATAGGTCAAAATTTGTGTTGCCTATGCACAAAAGGACAGAAAACAGTGAATTCAGAACATGCCTTTTTTGAGTCTAATACTAACATATCAAAGCAGATATAATAAGTATTTTAATATCTTTATGGTAACAGTTGAGTTACCTTCAAATACTTTTATGACACTACAAGCACAGAACCAAAGGAGAATTCTACTCACCTGATCCTGCACCCTCTAAACATTCCTGTATCTACAAGATAGGGACAGACTAAAGTAGTTTTGATTCCATCCTTTTCAGCAGCCTTCAGTTCATGGCTCAAAGACTCATGGAAACCTACAGCTCCAAATTTGCTGGCACAATAATCCTGTGTTGGCAATGAACAAAACAAAAAAAAAGGCAACTTAAAAAGGACAGCTATGAATGATGTTCAAAGACAGGATACCTACGGTGATTCTGCACAGATTTTCAAAGCAACAACAAAAGACACCCACTGAATAGAGCATCACATCAACTCATTTATCACTTTACTTTTGAGGCAATTAGCACAGAATCATGAAAGCAGGAAAGCTGAATGTAGGAGGATATTACCTTGGATTCAAGTCTTTGAATCAGGCAGGCTCACATGACAAGTTACTCCAATTACCAGTTTGCTTAATAATAAACGGTACAACAAAGGACTGAGATACCTAATACTACCTTGGGTCAGGTTTGAAAAAGCTTGTAGGGGCAGGGTGTAGATGTTAAAATCTGCAGAGTGTTATTTTAAAGGTTATTTTCAACAGAAGATCTAATGGAGATCAGATGATTTCTATGAGATACACAAATAATACACTGAGTTCAGCAACAATAAAAAATAATTGCATAGACAGCAGTAGCACTTGAGTTTTCTGCTGGCTGAGTCCATCTCTGCTGGTGGTCACACCCAGCGCCTAGGAAGTTCTTCTTTGTAGCTTTCTCAAGACAGTAAATACTCTTAAAAAGCCTTAAGTTACATCAGCTTCATTCATTTGTGTTATGAAACACTGCAGTTTAAGGTGCTGGATTGAGCCTTACCTATATGCAAAGAAGCCTGTGCTTATGGGGTAATATGACCATTATTATTTTAGGCACATTAATTAATTTTCACTAACCATATGCTTTTCATTCACACTTGCATTTCTACTAATGACTCAAAAAGCGAGATAATAAGCTCTAATCCTAACCTCTTTTTATGCACCAAACAAGTCCCACAAACTGGAGCTGTCAAACAGCTGCCAGCGAAGCAGGTGAACCATATATTCTATAAGGCTTGCAGCCCTTTCCTCACAGAAACAGGAAACAGAAAACATTACTTTCAAAAGCCTTTGGCTTCAAGCCTAGCACTGAAGACCTTGACAGAAGTAGGTAGGTGGGCACCTTTCAAGTCCCTAAAATCAGGTAATTCAAAGATTTAGCCTTAATTCAAATCCTCTGCCATCCTAGGCTTTCGCTCTAAGTGGCACAGTCCACCTGCAGTAGATGAATACAAGGGCTGCCCAGGGACTGTGGCTCCCATTCACAGGGAAACGTGTTGATATGGTACTCAGCACCATAGCCTCCGAGCACCTTTGAAGATTGGACTTTATTTTCTCTAGCTGATAATATATACATGTATATATATATAAAGCTTATCTTATGCAAGAAGTGCCAAATTTTTTGTTAAGTATAGTCTAACAAACCTCCACTCCAGCAGTACTGAATAATCCCAAGGAACTCGCAACTGTCACAATGTGCCCGTGGTTCATTTCCAGCATCTTGGGAAGGAACGCTTTAGTGGTCTACAAAGCAAAAAAAACCAACAAAAACCACACAAACAACATTAACAAAAAAGAAAAATACATATGAATAAGCTACATTGGTAATAAGTTTTTAAAACTTCTCAGTTTATTATCAGGAACACAGAAGTACAACCATCGTACAGATATTGAACTTGTTTGCAAAAATGCCAGCAGAAAATCTACAGCTTCTTTGTGCATTCAGACAGTGAAGCAGCAAGGATTGTATCTCCAGAAATCCTAAGGTTAAAGGATCAATTGAGCTCAGACATGTTTACTTTTCTGCAAGAGACTAGTTATCAGAAAGAGATAATTTGAGCTTAAAATGGAATCACATTTTTTTAAAGACAGAAAAAGGAATGCAAAGTGTTTAATTACACCATATAGCACATCTCTGGGGAGACCAGTGCTGATTATCAGTCCTTATTATTGACAGCGTGTTTTCTAAGTTCGATATTACTAGTTTTATCCAAGCAACTTATCACATCGTACATTTTACATTAAAAGAAATACTAGAGGCAGTTTTTGCTAATGTTACTTTTTACTTACAATAAACATCTGTTAGTCTCAATTACTTTTCATCTTTATTAGTATCCATAAGCATTGCTATAGTTAAAACAACAGGATCTACATTTCTATAACCAATTCCTTAAGAGTTTAAAAATAAATAAAACAAACCCAAAGCAAGTCTCAAGATGAAACTTTAATTTTAACCTCCAGTTGTTATGTTTTGATTATAACAAAGTTAGTTTCCCTTTAAAAACTCAAACCAGAGTTAACACCTTTAAAAAATTAAATTTTAAGCAACAAATTGAAGGTACTAGCTGGAAGATCACTCCCACCAGAATACATACCTTTATCACATCTCTCTTCTGAATCTACCTTAGCATTCTAATTTAAATAAGTATTTTAAGTAAGTATTAAGAGGAGCACTACATATGCTGCAAAAATCAATCAAGTAGTAAAATGGTATGTGCAGCTACAATGTACTTCAGTTTCTAAATTGTCAGTGTACTATATGACATCACTTTTAAATTGACAAAGAACTTCAGAATTTCTTAATCACAAACATGCCTAGTTAATATATAAATCTATTAATGACAGAGCTACAATTCTATTCTAATTTACTCAGTACCACGAATGCTTAAATCCTCCCAAGAAATCTCGTCTTCCAATGTAATTTGTATTCAAACTCAGAGCATGCAAATGTCCTTAAGTATTTGCTACTTGCTTAATTGTTGGTCTGAGTCTTGTCAGCTGCATTCTTAAAAAGACGTGCAAGCTACAGCTGAATCCATCTAATTCCATTCTTATGCTGTCTGCATTTTCCAATCACAGACGTCAGGACAGTTTTGCTCTAATGATTTTCACATGTTCTTGTACAACATTTTTGCCTGCAGGTGTTAAATGACTAATCCAGACCTCCTAACACCACACAAAAGAGTGTTTTCACTGGACAGCTGGCAGATGATAGAAGATTAACAGACCTCCTGACTCCTTGCCTTTTCTACTGTTGATTCATACAACTCCTAGATTCTGTCATAACTACATAATGAAGCTAATTATGAAAAATAATCTGAGAGCAAGCTGCCTTGCATTTGTTTCTTTCCTCATGGCAGGAATCTCTAAACCTCTTATACAGAGCCTCCAACAAGAATTTAGTTTGCTGTTAGACTAATCTGTGCCAAGCACACAAAGTTTCAGCCTCTCTTCCCATGTTGCATGGCAACAAAGCCTAGTCATCATCGGGCAGCACCGTCTGAAAAAGTAAGAGGCTTCGCTTGGACGGTACTGAAGTTTTGCAGAGTGCTCTTTTTTTTGCAGCCTGCCTTGCACACTCCAACACCAACCGTGTGTACACTACCCTGATCCTCCAGGCTATCCATGTTCCCAAATCAGTCCTGCTAACAATTTCCTCCCCTCCAGAGCATTTGTCAGCTCAATCAGTGGTTTCCACTTATGTATCAGCTATCTGTCCACATCACATGGGAATGAGTGATTGCCACCTCACATTGCCAGAAAGCTTGATAATGCAGACTGAAGCTCTAGCTGCAAACCACAGCAACTACAGAAAAGGGGCACTCGCCTTGGAGTTTGCCTTGGGGGAGAAAAAGAAGGAAAAGAAGTAGAAACAAATTTTTTTCCTACCACTTTCAAGGCATGAATCAATGTTTTCTTTCAAGATATAAACAGGCAAGTGCACCAAGCTATTTTCCTGACCAAGCACTGCTTTTCTTTCCCCTTTTTTTTTTTTGCTTCATTGTTAATATGCTGAACTATTAACTAGGTGTCCATAGGCATCTGGATTTAGCTACGGCTGAAGAAGAGATTTTTCAGAGGTATATATATAAATATGGGAAATAACCAGAGCACTCAACTATGCTAGTGTCTTCAAAGAATAAAGATAACCAAAACTGAATTTTCAAGAGTTTGTGGCTAAAGTAAACCATTTTCAACCAGATGAAATTGGCATATGATGAATAAAGCCTGTTGAGGACACTTTTAGGCGATGTTTTCAGCATCTCAAGTGCAAACTGAACAACTCCCAACAGCAGAACTGCAGTCACTTTGTGTAACTCATGTCTTAAAAAGCCATCAGTGGCCACATAGGAAAAATAACACACAGCTCCTCTGCTCTGAAGACAATTAGCAATTCATGGAAATCTTTGTGTGAAACTTCAGTATTCTGAAACAGCCTGTTCAGAGCAGGACCCTGTACTTTGTTATGGGTCATTATCCCACATATTCATTTAAAACCTGACATTGAGGCAGCCTATAAAGACAGTACAACCATCATATGCAGAAAACTTAGCAGTCAGCTATCAATATCTCAGCTAAATGAATGCCAGAGAAAGTCATCTCGATTGCTGCCATCCTCAGCCATCTGCAGCAGCTGGGAGTCAGCACTTGAAAACAAGCACTGTCAGAGGCAGACACACCCTACAGGGGGACACATTTCCAGGCTCAGAGTAAAGGCTTGCCCACTGCTCCTCCCAGCCTCCTCTCGCTGGGAAAAACAATCCCAAAGTGAAGTTATTCTCTTTCATGGTATAAGCAATCCCCAAATAAATTAGTGTTCTTACTGAGCTTCTGGCACAGCACACTTCCTTGATCAAAGCAGCTTCCTCCACACTCTGGTCCCCAGTTTTCTGCCTGTTACATAAACCAGATCAACCTAGTTTCTAGTTTCTTTCAGCTTCAGCTACATCTGCCTACCAGACCTGAAGTCTTCTCTGTGCTTGCTGTGCTGCTGAGAAACTAGTTAAGAGTTCGACTGGTTTGGGGCAAGATGCCTCCTGGGTGGCCTCCCATCTGGGGTTTGTCTGAACAGGTAGCACAGTCCACATTAGTCTTCTGAGGTGATGCACGGACATGCTAATCCTCCATTTAAAAAAAAAAAAAAAAAGAAGTATTGAGGATACCAAGCAAGAAATGTGTTTTGTCCATGGCATTAGAGGTCATGAACCAGACCCCCCAAAATAATTCAAATCAACTCAAGTGATTTAATCAAACTATCTGCCTTCTGGTTTGATCCTTGAGGTTTCAGTTTTACCTCTCACAGCTGCAGAGGAAGACATTTAACCAAAACATTTAAGTACTTGAAGTCAGAGCTGGGTCATTTATTCATGACAAACATGCTATGGTTTTCAACACTGAGGAGAAACCAGCAAGTAGCATATAGTGGATGAAAGGAATCATGTTGTGTCAATCAGGGCGAACAATCAGGGAACTTATGCAGTGCTCAACATCGAGGAATGCAAGTCAAACATCCTCTTCACTCAGAATTAGCTCTTTGTTGTTGTTCATTTATTTATTTAGGAAAACAAAACAAAAAGCAAAAAGCAAATCCCAAAAGCATAATGAAAACATGAATTTTCTAACCTGCAGTATACTTCAGATACACAGAAATTAGGTAGAATAGATAGAACATATGAAGCTATTCCGAACAGAGAGTAGAGCTCTGGTTTTTTGAGCTAGTTTAACGTTTAAATTTTTTGGAGCCTAGAGATCAATTCCTAATCTTCTAAGCATTTTCCTCTATGTTCCTGAATATACCAGTAAGAACAAACTATTCCCAGTAGCTGTAACCAAACATCTATTTCATGTGCACACAGATTTAATGACTTATTTCTCACAAGTGTGAAACTGAACAAGCATTTACATGTCACTTCATAGCTTTCGTAATCTGTTCTCAACATTTTGGTTTACGGCAAATTAACTTCTAACAGTCTAGCACTTCTTCCCTCCCCTTCCCCAAATTCTTTAGTTCCATTCTTAATGAAACAAAACTCAAAAGATTGTGCAACACAATGAACAGCACAGCTGCAATGTCAAGACAAATTAGTCTAAATACAGCAAATGAGAATATGAAGAAATACTGTGTTTGGGAAAGTGATTTTTTTAATTAAATTTTGGATTAATTATTCTTAAAGAAGAAAGTAAGCATGCACAGAAAACAATGTTAGCTGTATGCAGCTCAAGACAATGGATACTGAATGCAGAAAGCACACCAAAGTAGAAGAGTATATGTTACCTCGTATTTAGAGTTGTCTTTATATCAAAGAAAGAAAGAAGCAGGTACCAACACATAAGGTCCTTTACGTTTCTGTTTTTCAATGTAATACATTTTCTGCCTTCCACCAGCAGCTTTTTTAATCTATATTGATGGCATAAACAAGCTGCATTACTGTAAGGTAAAAATTCCTTTATGACACAGGAATAGCTCCTTTTCCATATAGCTCCTTCAGGTAAGGAAGATGGAGCATGGTTATTGTTTGGGGGCTTATCAAAACAGCTGAGATTTTATAGCACGAGTTATCCACGGCAGTGGTATACTAGTGTAACAGAGGAGACGTTTCCTCCCAAGCCACAGTTATTCCTGATTGTCAGGGCAGCTGCCTAACAGTGCAAATGTGCGCAGTGTTTGGGTAAGTGTATTGTTTCATCTTCATGTTAAAAACTATTCAGCCAGATCCAAGCACCAAAACTGGTGTGATTAGTCA